TTTTTTTTTTTTTTTTTTTTTTGGCCTTTGACAGGTTCTTTGGTGGCAAAAAAAAAAGTGGTGAAAGTTTCCACCCCCAGTAGAAGCAAGCTCCAGTGCTGCCCTAGAGAACAATTCCCAGAATATCTGGCACTCCATGACACACCCTTCCCTGCTGCTGCTCCCGTGCACGGGGAAGCCAGGGGAGAGGGGGAGGTGGACAGCTGAGAGAGGACTGCCCTGAGTGCATTGTTTGGATATTACACCTCTGAATATAAAACTCAGTGTAAGATCAGCTACTTTACTAGCTAAATCCCTAAGATGGCTTCTGCACTTATGAAAATTCAAGATTCATTGGCTGCTTTCCATTCTGCCCTTATTCTCTTCCATTTTGTTTGTATCAAAAGGGACCGGGTTAGGTGAATGCTGAGTAGCAAAGCACCGTGATTGGTAATTCATCATTGTTCACAACCGTCTTCTACTCTAACACCCTTGTGGAACTGGGCTTCTTTCATTTTCCATAGTGTATTTGGTGACTCTCTGTGCAAAGAGACTACATTGAAATGTATGTTCATCTGAATGGGTGACGGTTTGAGAGTACACTAAAAATAAACAGCTATTTGACTGCAATTTTCCAATTAGACCTATTTTATTCTGATTGCTGTTAACTAAACTACCCTATTTTTTTCTATTTGAATTTCTTACCAAGAACGAAATAAATGCAAGTATCCCAGGGCACGTAACTGTGTAACCACTGAAGCTATTTTGAATTTCGCACGATTCCATATTATGTGAAGTACAGGGCATATTATATGGCTAACAATTCTCATGTCCAACATATTTTGTATAATATCAAAATCATTGTGAAACATATGGGTCTGGAATCTTTTAGAATGATTTCAAAACTGATTTAATTTTAGGAGAAAAACAGAAAGGCCAAAAAGTAGGCACTTTCTAGCATATTTTTGAACAAAGCATATTAGATTTTTCCACCAATTGAAATTTATCCATGTGATTACATTTCACCACCAGAGCCAAAGAGGAAAAGAATCTATACTGAGGAGTTAATGCTAAAGAGTAAATATGTATTCTTTGCCATTTGTTCTCTATGACTAAAGTGGTGGTCAGCTCTTCTACCTGCATACTCGCCTTCTACCCCTCAGGAAAAGGAGAGCAGTTCCCATGCGGAGGCACACAGACAGCACATCTCCAAATGGGGAAAAGCTAGCCAAGAGCATAACATATAACTTAAGTGAATCCTGAGGGGTCGTCAGTCTCATATTATTATTTATCTGTATTATGACAGCACACAGAAGTCCAGATGATATTGTGGCTTTCTTGTGGTAGTCATGTGTGCTTACCCATCATGAGAGGCCATCCCTGCCCCAAAGCACTTACAGTGTAAAAAGACACAAACATGGCTTGGGACAGGAAATAGAGTGACTTACCCCAGGTCAAAAGAATGGATCAATGGCAGAGCTAAGAATAAAGAATGCAGTTCTCCAGAGCCCCATTCAGGTGCCCCTACTAGAAACATTGCTTTACCTCTCATGAACCTTACATAAAGTCAGCTTTGAGTACTTAAGCAAAAAGACATCCAACTTAATCACATATTACACTTTGTACAGTACTTTGGAAGGCCTTCACCATATAGTTTTGTTTTTAAAGAAAGATAAGCTTGTAAATTGATTCAGGGCATTTTCCACTAAACATTTTTTGAAACTGGATATAACAATGGAGGATGGCTGTCCGCCACCAGCCTTTTTCTTGGATCAGGTAAAATGCCACTCAGTGCATCTGAATTCCATTTTAGTAGATTAGTCATTTACACAGTGGTGATTAGACCCTCTTGTGACAAAGGCAGATGCAGTGAAATACACCTATGTTGAACAAATCAAGTTGCTGGTAACTTTGGTCTGCTAAAGATTTTCAGTAGCATTGGTAAAAAAATTAAGAATCTGAAGAAATGTCCTTAGCCTTATTTACGTTCTATTATGCTAGCAAATAGAAGCAGATATTTAACGCAAAACTACAGTACTGAAGGTTAAGGGTAAGATCTCATACTCTTCTTGTTTCTCCTGGTGGGATTTAGGTTTAATCAGGTCAACTTCTTTTGCTACAAAGATGCCTGGAAAATGCAAATGCAGTTCATGTTCTGAAGTCAAAAGTTATTACAGAAAGTTATGACTGTATTCAGGTTAGTTCCTGATTTAGTATAACTACTAACTGCTATGAAAGAATATGAGGGGAGTGTTATGTGCCAATTAGTTTCTGGCTATATTAAAGATTTTTTGTGGATTCTGAGCCTCAGGTCCATTA